TAATAATAATAATAATAATAATAATAATGATAATAATAATAATAATAATAATAATAATAATAATAATAATAATAATAATAATAATAATAATGGATTTGGTAGTAATAGTGTTAGTAATTTTATTTATAATATTTATCTTGGTAGTGATATTATTCTTAATAACATGTTGTTAGACACCGAAGGTTATTGATTGACTGTGATTGATTGATTGATTGGAGAGATAAAATATATAGAGATAGAAAACTTATTATTATTTACTATAGACATTATATAGATTATTTGTTTATACTAGAGATAATATTTATTTATTTAATTAAGTTTTAATCTAAAATTTATATATATAATTTTATAATTTAAAATCCTACATGTTTGTTTAATAAATCACCTATTTTATCATTATTTCTGTAAAGGTTCATGTCTTTTCAATTATTCATTTTCATTCTCCCAACATTCTTTACCAATAATTGATAATCTTTAATACTATTCCCATTGTCTTTAATTAAATCACTACTAATAAATCTAAAATTTATATATTTGGTAATAAAATATTTATATTGTATATACTTTGTTGAAATTAAATTTGAATAGATTGTTTTTGCCAATTAGTAATTATCTAGTACTAGGTATTATTACATTACAAAACTCATAAAAACAACTTTATGATCTTTAGCTTCTTCCTCTTGGCGAGCATTATAGTGTAAATCATCTTTAAAATGCTGACAAGTATCACACAAGTCAGTCCTTGGACTCATAATTTGAATTTCTGGTGTCAATTGATGTCATAATTTTCTAAAGGCATCGTATTTTAAGGATTTCAAATTACTATTTTCTTCCAGACCAGCTAGAAAGTCTTGTGCACTGATTTATAGCTCATTTCAGCTGATAAGAATACAATTGATTGAGTTATTCTATTATTACTTCTTCCTGGACTTGGTAATCCATGGACTTCTGCATAATTTTCCAGAAAATTCTTTACTACTTCTGCAACATGTTTATCAATCACCATTTTAGTTTTCCATTGAGGCATCCTTTTAATATTACCATGAATTCTTGGTAAAAGACCATTGTTTATCATATGATTTCTAATATTTTCAAAATAAGTTCTACCAATTCCTAACATATTGAGATAAGTTTCTTGACAAAGTAGTGTATTGTGATTTTAGTGATAGAAAGTTCTTTTATTAGATCTAATTTTCTTAAGGCGTCTGCTAATGCTTATTGTTCCACCATGAAAAGAAAAGTATTAATATTTAACAATTAATTATTTAAATGTTTATTTTGTTGAAAAAAATATACATTGATAATGTACATTTTCTGTGCTTAACATCCATGTGACTCTAAGTCTGGACAAAAGATCCCCTTCTATGAGTTTTGCTGGTATATCTCAAAGGCATCACCTGTCTTGTCAGTGGCATGCCTACTCACCAATAACCCTACCCCCATTTGAAAAACAAATTCAGTTGGTCAGATAAAAATTAAAAAGAAAAGCAGAAAATTTGGGAAAATGATTAACTTGTAACATGCCAAAATCTGAACCATTTTATGCCTTTTTTCTTGTTGGCCATATTGCTGACAAAGATGTATATAATTGTGCAATAATTTTAATCTATACAACAGGGCAAAAACCCAATCCAGTCCCCTACCCAAAATTATTAAATTGGTTAGTATCAAAAAACAGAGAATTTATGAAAGTGATTATACAAAACAAACACTATTTTACAACTTTCCTCTTAACATAAGAGTCCAAATGCAATTGGAGGGTCACCAACCTTGCTCTGGATTGTGACCTCCTGTGCTTGAAACAAGCTGCAGATTCTCTTTGCTTTGATGGATCTAGATATTTACATGGAACTACAATTCATCAGCAGAGTTGTGACTTGGTCACAGAGCCATCTTTACCCTAGAGGTAGGATCGTTGCAGACGAATTTTCAGCCAGCGTGCCAGCAGCCTTCTCTGGTCTGGGAAGATTAGTGAAAGCATCATTGATGATTGATACTGTCTCAGTATACTCCAGGGCAAAGTGACCCCCCTGAAAATTCTGTAGCATCATTGTATCATCAGGCATTGCAAGTCAGATTAGCCTTATGTACATGAGGAACAAGTGAGAATGACTGTAAAGTGTTCAAGGTAGTGTGCATGCTTCAACACTTGCCAATTTCCGATAATCAAACATCACATACTCAAAATGTTTCTTTTTCAACAGTGTGCTGCCTTGACATCTTGTGATCATAATAATATAATATTATTATTATTACGATTTCGCAAAGCAAAATATTATCAATGAAAATCTTATAATTACCCAGCAAAGATCTGCTCTGCGTTTTGATTTCCAATTAAAATATTTATAATAACCAAAAAAGACAATACAAATAAAAAATAGTACCTCTGGTTAGTTATTAACATGTATTCTTTTAGAAGATTCACGTTTTGTCACCTTGGACTCTGTCAAAAAAAAAAATCAATTTGCATCTGTCCTACCAAAAAAAAAACCAATAGGATAAATAATTAATGTGTACGTGTTGATCATTCACAAACTTCTTTTTTCCTCTTAAAAAATGTCCAACTATAGAAAATTAAGAAGCAAACAAAATGATCATGAGGAGGCACTTGATGGGTAAGTGTTTTAAGGATGGTGGTTGCCCGCCACTTGTCATCACTCTAGTTATATATAACTTTTTTTTGTTTATTTAGTATTAGTGTGAATGAGAAGAACAAAGAAAACGATGGCACAAAAGTATTCATTTCAATAAATTAATATTTGGCAATAATGCAAACATTATTCAATATAAAAATAAAAAAATTTTTTTATGCACCACTATTCTCCAAATCATTCTTTTTAGTATTGGAAAAGGAAAGTAGAGACACTAGAAGGAGAAGTAGCTAGGTTAGAAAAAAGTTAAAGAAATTAGAAAAGAATGCAGGTAAAGATCACATTGTTTGATAAACATACAAAGGATTATTTTCTATTTTATTATTTGTCTATTTGTGGGAATATTTGGTATACTGTTTACAACTTTAACAAACTTGTGATTTTTTTAATCTTTGGCATTCTGTTTGTTAAATATATTTTATCACCTCATTTATAGGTGCTGAGGATTTGAGAAGTAGGGTTTGTATTCACAGATACCATGAATACTGTTAAGGGGGTTACACACTAATAAACCAGCAAAAAATCCCTTAAAACACTTGATTTTAATAGTGTGTACCCCCGTGTGACATTCTTATGGTATCCGTGAATACAAACCCTGTTGAGAAGTAAGTAGTAACTTAAACTTCTTGGTTTTTTGGCTTTGTTATATCTTACTTCTTTTACTTCTAGTTATATGTTTAAATATCAAATATGGACGAAATGTTTCTCAATTTGATTGGAAAATCAATCCAAATGATATTACACATCATTTATTCATTGAAAGCATTTTACTTTTCCAAATGGTATATGATTTTTTCTAGATTTTAAATGCCATGTGTTTTTGACTTGGAAATATAATAAACATCTAAAATATGATTCAACTTTTAATAAAGATACAAAAGATTCTGAGTTCACAATATATCGTATAAAATTAGACAAATCAAAAAGCAAGCAAGATGAAACAACCATTGTAGATTTATTAAAAAATCGTTTGAAAACTGACAATGATGGTGTATACAACATCAATTTGGAAGTTGATACAAGTATGTGAATTTATTTGAATCTTGAAAAATTACTATCATTTTCCACAATGGTTTAACATACATAATTTTGAAGCTCAAAAGCCTTTTTCAGATTGGACATTTTCTTTAATGGCTGAACTTTTTGGTTTGTCAGATAAATTGTAATTATTAAATAAATTTAAAACTGGTAAACTACTCATTAGATTATAGTTGTTATCACTTTCAATTATTTCATGTTTAATTTTTTTTTTTTACAGAAAGAAAACCAATTAAATCCAATAGTGATGAAGAGAAAGCATTTGAATACCTATTTGAAGAACTGAAGGTAAACAAGATTTCTATATTACAATAATTTTTTTTGCAAGAATTTTATAACTCATATTAAGAAAATATTAGGTTCGAACAAAAGTAATTAAATTGACAAGTGGCTCATCTGAAAAGGCATGTTCACATATAATATTTTCATTTTTGGCTGTTGCTTCATCTTTATATAATGGGGATTTTGAAATCAAATGTGAGTATAGGATTGAGGGTACTCATGGTAGAGGTCCATTAGATTTTGCCATTCTTTATTTAGATGAGATGATTGCTGGAGTTTCTGAATCAAAAAAAAGTGATATAGAAAAAGGAGTTGGTCAAAATGCTGTTCAATTACAGGCTTCAATAGAGGTAAACAAATTTTCTTGTTGTGTTTAATATTAATTTGACTTTTATAAACAATCTTTCTATAAATTCCATCAGACAAATCTTCAACAATTTAAAAGACAAGAATCAACAAATCATACAGATGGTGGTACTCCAAAAACCATTTTTGGTATTGTTAGCAATGCTGAGAAATGGCGTACCTTAAAATTGGTCTTTGATAGTAAAAAAGAAAATCCTGAGATAGCTATTTCAAATGAGGAAATTCCATTTGAGTTACCCTTTGTTAAAAATATGAATAATGATGATGAAAATGAAATGAAGAGAAAAAGCAAAAAATCTATTTGAACATATCCTTTGGATTTATAAGCAAATGTATCTTGGATATGAAAAACATAACAAAAAATTCAAGATTGAATGAAAGAACGGATTTATATATTATTTTATTAATTTTTTATGATTATTCTTTACACTTTATGGATAAAGTATTGATATGTTGAATAATGTTGTTAAGTATTTAAAAAAGATCTTAGCTTATTATGATTACGAAAAAAGAAAGTTAAACATTTATCAAGATTTGATAATTTTCAAAAAGTCACACTTAGAGCTATTTTAAGATGACACATTTTAACACATCTTGGGGACTTGGAGAATGTTGTTCCATTTATTCTCAAATGTATATATTTAAATTTCATAATTATTGATCAAATATTCACAGAGAAATAAAAAAAATATAATATGCAAGATGATTACTTTTATGCATGAACAAATTTTAAATGGCTGAAATATCTAACCAAAACTATTTTTCTTTTTTTTTTTATAAACTTTCAACTTGTTATTTAATTAAAACATCATGTCAGAATTTGAATAATTGGACATTGGGAAGCACTTGTGACATTGTTGGTGTACTCAGTCATTCTTGGTCACAAGTAACTCATGCAATAAAAGCATTTAAGATCAAACTACTATTGCTCCTCCCAAAAAATATAAATGAATTGGTTTCTTATTTAATGGATGAGTGGGCTAATCTTGATCATGATTATTTGCAAAAATTAGTAGACAACATACCTTAAAAAGTCCAAGCTGTAATTGATTCAAAGGAAACCCAACAAAATATTGAATAAATGAATGTATATTTATATTTTTTTGATACTTTTGATGTAAATTTAATAAAGATTTATTATGTAAAATATTATGCAAATTGTGGATGAAATTCATTATGATTTTTTTTACATTTTTTATTAATTAATTCTCCATGAATATTCGATCAATAATTATGAAAATTTAAATATATACATTTGAGAATAAATGGAACAACATTTTCCAAGTCCCCAAGATGTGTTAAAACATGTCATCTTAAAATAGCTCTAAGTGTGACTTTTTTGAAAATTTTTTGAAAAATTTTAATTTGACTTTTAAACATCATAAAATTATCAATAACAATCAGTCCAATGTGATGTTTTAGAATATTATGGGAATCATTTTCAGCACATTTTCTCATTAATGTATTTGCTTAGTAAAAAAATGAGTATTTGTATTACCAGTTTATTCAATTATTTTTGCAGATCATCAAGTGAGTCAATACTTTTTTTAGGGGTGTGTATTATTTTCTTTTCAGGTAAAGTGTTTATCTTACACACCTTTTTTAATTTCTTTCTCACAATTAGTACACATGAACAAACATGATTTTTACTGTCTTCATAAACACTAACATCTCAATGGAGGTAGATTTTACATTGAGGACAAATAGTGGTGATTCTGTCTCATTTTCATTGACCATGCTCATTTAGCTTTTTAGCCCTTCATGGCCAATCACTCCCCTCTTTATTCTTAAGCTTTTCTAGGGCTTCTCTAAAAATCTTTTTTTATTTTGCTCTCACTCTCATCCTGCACAGGTAGATAATTCTTGTTGAACTAGATTTTGGGCACAACCTCAGCAACAAAATTTAATGATTTTTCCTTCTTCAATTAAAACTTAAACCTTCTTTTATATTGTGACTAAGGTTTCCAGCTGAAACTAAGGATACTGGCTGCAACTTTTGATGATGGTTGCTGCCACCTTTATGTCATATAAAAATGATTGCAACCACCTTTATGACCATTTTGTTTCCTTTTTTGGGTTGCAACATGGAACACTAGTTGAAACTCTCTTTATTAGTAGCCAAAATTGCCAAAACACTTTGGGGCAAAAATTACTTTTTTATAAGCCCAAACTATTTTTTGTTATGGCTGAAATTGGGCAAAATTACTTTTAAAGTTGTTTAAGTTAAAATAAGTTGATTGGTATAGTTTTTTAATGTTCATGTTTATAAAAAATGCTGAGAAGCCCAAATTGCCCAAACTAGTTTGGGCTTTGAGAAAACAGTTTGGACCGGAAACCTTAATTGTGACAATTAAATAACATTCTTTTCTACTCATGGTTATTTCTTGTTCTAAATATTCTTAAAATAATTTTACAAAAAAAAAGTCTGTGCTCAATCATCAAAAAGGACTCTTGAAATTATGGTTTGAGTGAACATTAGTATTGGTTTCAGGAATCTCATTGAGAAAGATAAAAATAGACAGTAAGTTTGTTTGTATTAGATTTTTTTATCCAAAGGTTTCTATTTTTTGTTGGGTAATAACACATTTTCATTCTGCTTTCTTTTCTTAGTGTTTATTATTTTTCTTTCTTCTTGATAAATTTCATAATTCTTTCTTTTCTTAGATAAGTTTCAAGTGTACACTTTGTTCCTTTTTCAAAATACTTCTAATGGTACTGTAATTTTTTGGTCCCATAGTACATTATAAAACTAATTGTGATGATGATAACTAAATTTGGATCCTCGAAATCTTTGGTAATACCATCTAATGTTGTAAAACATGTTACAAAAAAAAACAAAAAACAATTTTTTTTTTTTAAAAATAATAAATAAATATAATAATAACATGGACGATAATAAACATCTTCTCAAAATTTCAGAAGTTCTGCAGGACCCAGGTACCTTGACAAAGTAGACTTTCACGTACACTCATATATATATATTGATTGCATATTTTTTTATTATATAGATGAAAAAAAACGAAACAAAGCACTTAAAAAATTGTGTCTTGCCATAAGAAAACCAGTTACACTTGATCAAAAAGTTGCAATCAATCTATGGAAAGGGTTATATAAAAGTAATAATAGTAATAATAATAATTAATAATTTTCTTTGATCTATATTAATATTTAATAATATATTGATTGTTACTGTTGTTATTACATTTAATGCTCGATAGCACTTGTATCGTCAAACAATAAGAATATTTGTGATGTTATCGGTAATATAATTGCAAGTTCTCAAGTTAGTAATTTAGAAATATTTGTGATCGAGTTTTGGAATAAGATGTGTTACGAATGGTTGAAGGTGGATAAACATCGGTAAATATCATTATATACATATATACGTATGTGTTTATATATAAATGTAAATTTATATTTCCACATATATGTATATATAATATGTGTCTATAGAATGGATAAATTATATCTTGTTCAGAGACGTGTCTTAAATGGAATTCTAAATTGTGGAGTTACTAATAATTGGCAAATATTACCAATAATCAGTAATGTGATATCACATTTGATCAGCTCTCAAATTTCTACGATACCAGATGGAATTAAATATCATTTTTGTGATATTTATGTTGATGAATTGATAAATGTTGCAGAACAGGTAATAATACGTTAAAAGAGAGAGAGAGTACGCGTGACTCTTGGTGAATATAATTAATAAATTAATAAAATTTTTTGTTTTTGTTTTGTGTATTAAAAAGGAATCATATAAAATTCCGTTAAGTGAATTAATCATCCCATTTGTATGGGCATTAAAGGATATTAAGAACAAGATCTTAATTTCCAATATCAAGGCTGAAGTTTTTAATAAATTAATATCTCAAATTCCTAAAGGTATGTATATATATACACACACCAATATGCCATCCAAAACTAATTTGAAATAACAATAATTGAAATAATTGTAGATAATATTTTTCTTAAAGATCAATTGATGGAAATACACGGTGAATTGATAAAGGTTACTGAATCAAAAGAGATTTCTTCAAAAGCTAGAAAGACAGCCAAAACACTATTACAAGAGTTCATAAAAGTAATTGGAAGTTTTAAAATTGTATCATCCAACGATTTAAATAATAATTTTAAAAAACGTAAAATCGAAGAAATAGAAACACCATCAGCTTCTTCATTATCGTCGTCATCTGTTGCATCTTTTCCATTATTGCTAACTTCTGTTGACAACAATGAATCAAAGAAATGTAAAATCGAGGGTATTGAATCATCAACACAAGAATCAGTAATAGAAATTGCTAAAAATAAAAAAAATAAAGGTAAGAAAAAATCTAAACCAAAAAACAATATTGAATTGTCATCACCTGCAGCAGCGTCACCCATTATATCTACTCCGTTATTACTTACTTCAGTGGATAATAATAAGCTAACAACGATTACGACTACGACACAAGAATCGGTAGTAATCTCTGCTAAAAATAAAAAAAATAAAAAGAAAAAATCTAAATCAAAAAAAGCAGAATCACCGGAATCATCAATATCATCTACTATATCATCTTCTTCTACATTACTTAATCTATTTAACTCGGTTGATAACAACGAATCAACTACAGAAACAACACAAGTATCAGCCGTAATTGTTGCTAAAAACGATAACGATACGCCACTACTTAATTTACTTGATTCAGCTGACAATAACGAATCAACAAAAATTACAGCCGAAGCAACGACACAAGAATCAGCAATAGTTGTTCCTAAAAAGAAAAAAAAGAAAAGTCAAAAAGCTAAATCGAAAAAAACTGACTCACTTGAATCATCAACGTCGTATGAACCCTTGAATTTGTTTTTATCAAAATCATCGTTATTGTCATTTTCGCCACTGTCATCTGCGTCAAAATCAATACCCTCCTCCTCTTCTTCATATTATAAAAACAATTCTAATAATAATAAACGTAAGTTTGAAGACACCGACTTGTCATCATCCTTATCCTCGGCCTCTTCATCAACATCATCATCAACATCATCATCAACTTCAATAAAAAGAGTTAGATGGGGGGTTAATATGACTAAAGGTAAATAAATATTTTATTAAATATATATATATATATATATATATACAATAATAATAATAATATTTTTATTATTATTATTAATTGTATAGAATATGTAAAGGGCAGTACTATTGAAAAAAAACATAAAAATGGCATCAACACACCAAATACACCAACCGCTTCAACTGTTTCAACTACTCTAAATGTTATTAAACCTATACTTAAACGAATTTATACGGATTAGATAGAAATCATTTAGTTTTTCATTATTCTTAATAATTATCAAATTGATATCTCTTTTAATAAAGTAGAAAGGCTAATAATAAATCTTATATATTATAATAGTAGTAGTACTAGTAGGTAAAGTTTTAATAGCGTTATCATTGCTACGATTATCATCAATTCTTTTTCTTTATTTTATTACTATTACTATTATGCAATAATTTTCATAGCAGCTATAGTAATAATCTCGAAAAAATGGAATTTATATGTATTATCTCGTTTGTAAATTGTTAACGGTTAATTCTTTAACTTTATTCCGATTTTATTGCTTAATATTTTATTTTAATTTTTTTTATTCAAGAAGGAAATAAAAAAGAAAACTTTTTAAAAAAAAAAATCTATATAGTTTTATAATTTCTAATAATGATGGAGTGATGAATGTAAAGATGAAGATTATGAGATTTATACAAAATAATAATAATAATATACAACAATGTAAACATGTGGATGTTAATTAAATTTATCTGTTAGGTGACTAGGAAATACGTTTGCTAGTGGAGTAATAAGAGAATCTTCGTCATCATTTAAATCTACATTATTGTTGTCATCATTTCCAAGGAAATAAACAACGTCTGGTGAAGAAGAAGTAACAATTTTTGAATTTTCACCGTGTACCATAATTAAAGGTGTACATTGTTGACGATTTGACGATGTAATATTATTAGCGGATATTGTTGTATTGGTCGTTGATAATGATAATGGTGATGATGATGACGGTGTGGTATTGGTATTAAAATCTTTAAAAAATGTAAGTGACTGATTTCTTGTATGAGGTTTTTCTTCTATAGTATTATCAATATTACTGTTATTTGCACTGCTATTATTTATACTATTTATGATATGTTTATCTTGAAGACAACCGTGCGATGCAGGTTTACGTAATATAGGTTGACCTATACCAAATAAAGCAACTAAATTTGAAGGAGTTTCGGGTCTAGAGATGGATTGATAAGGAAAACTATCGCTATTATTATTGTTTACTATTGTATTGTGAGAGATGGTATTTTGATTGCCGCGAAATGAATCCATTGAACTTTTTCTCGAATCCAAAGGAGGAGTGTCCAAACTTAAAGAATCCAAAGAAGGACGTCTTGAAGATAGATTTGAATTTGTAGTGGTCGAACCACCAGAAGAACAAAAACTAGAATTCTTTGAATAGAAAGATCTCAAAGAACTATAACTGCCTTGTCTTTTATGCATACCAATATTTGCCAAATCCAATCTGTCCAAAACAATATCAACAATATTTCTATCACCTAAACGTTTTTCCAATAAAGTCATCCATTCTTGCATATCATTTTCACTATCAGCAAATACGACAAATATAGAAGGTTTTTTCAAAGTTATTGTTGTTGATGTTGATATTGGAGATATTGAAGAAGAAGAAACAATATTACTGTTGTTGTTGTTGTTGTTGTTGTTGTTGGTTAATTTTGAAATTTTAGATGAACATTTAGATGATGATATTATTGATATAGGAGTGGAAACAGTTGAAGAAGTTGATGAGGATGATGATGAAATAGTAGCAATATCATGATAAGTACTTAGATTAGAATGAATTGAATCAGTTTCTTTTATAACCTTTTCAATTCTAATACAATATTGGGATTTTTTTGTTATAGTAGTATCTTGAGATATTGAGTTATATAATGATAAATTTATTACACCAGATGCTTCTTTAACATTCTAATAAACATTGAATCAAATATTTGATTAGCTCCGAGATATTTATTCCACAATATAATTTTATTAATTAGTAATATAATATTATTATTTACCTGATCTCTGTAATAATATAAATTATTTCCTTTAAGTACAAACCATCTACGTTTCCAGGTTTTTCTGATAGCATTACCGCCAAGTTTTGTCAACCAACCAGATTTTATTATTAAATCTTCATTTCCAAAATTCATCATGATTTTCTTTATATTATTGAATATTGCTTGATTGAAACGAAAATAAAAATATGATGATATAAATTATATGATCGTAATAATTAAATTCTATTTATTTATTATCTATTATTTAACTTTATTTACTATTATTTTATTTACAAGAAAAAAATTGAGCAGGTACGTATAAAATTCTAAATGTGAAAATTCAATGAAGAAAGTATATTATTGTTTTTGTGATTGATATTAATGGTGTGAGAACGTGTGTATATGTGAGAAAAATAGAAAAAGAGAATTAATTAATTGTAGTGAAAGTATAATAATTAATTTTTAATAAAAAAAAAAAAAAACAGGATTATTTATTGATGAATGAATGAATGAAAGAAATTTATATATTTATACTTTTTTTTTTGACGTGATGAAATTATTATTATCAGGGGTAAAAGTTTGCACGATCTACAAATGTGTGATTCTGGGGAGTCGCAGAATTTTTCGAACGTTATAAATAGTAGTATGAAAAAATATGAAAACAATCAAATAAAGGTTGAGTGAATGAATGATAAATGAAATAATAAAAATCAAAGGGGAGAAAGGAAATTAATAACATAAGAAAAACAAACAAACAAAAAATAATAAAATATTTTAGGTACAAATATTAGCCGAAATGTTAAATTTGATTTTATTTGTCTTTGTTCTATAATAAGCGTATTGTTAGAAAACTATACATATAATTAATATTTATTATTATTTGTTTATTATTTATTTATTTTTACGATTAAAATTTCTATTTTTCCAACAAAACAAATTACACAAAATTAATTCCTTTAAAAATAATTTACTAACCTCTTACAAGTACAAGTCCTACGAGGGGAGATCCCTCCGCTTACATTTCTCTATCAATGGTGGAGGATTTGCAAACTGCACCTTTAAGGGACTCAATAACTTTACAACATCTGCACGTTTACTAATGTATTTCTTGGCGCAGATGACAACATTATGCCAAGGAATACTCACCGAATTCATGGAATAAATGTTGGTAAAAACGGAGACGTGACCAAGTCAATATTTGCTTCGCGGCTTGGTTAAAACTCATTATTGTCTTGTGTTTTAAACTCAAGTAGCACAACTATATGGCGTAACCTTTTTGTTTGATAACAAGATTACGAATTCTCTTGTGAATTCTGTGCATTATATCTTTTACGCTTATTTGCTTTGCCATATGTATGTAATCTTTCACCTTGGATTCTGTCATGATGCAAGTATATTTTATTTATTTCCCCTCTTCCCCTCTTCTATAACATCGTTCAATTTGGATATCCAGTCATGAAAGTTCTTGCTGAGAAATTATGTCAGAAACCTCTTCAACCATTAAAAATTTAGGTTATGGTTATCAGCTTTAATATCAAGTGGTATAGGGAGATACAGTACAGCTTCATTTAGTGCCCCAAATACATTATGGATTTCGGGGATTTTCTCCATAATAAGATAATAATAAATATTATCATATTAATAATAATTAATTATAATATTATTTATTATGTTATTTATTATTATTTAAATATGGGAGACAAATTTTGTCATTTACCAAATTTATTCCTGAATAGAAATAATTAAGCTATAAAAGGTTATTTATTTGTATAGTATATGTATTGTATTTTAAAAAATAATTTGTATCATTCTTTATTACACAATTTAGAAATAGACTTGTAACATACATCATTTCCAATTCTAACGTCATCAGTCGGGGATATCACTAAATATGGAATTACCTATTTTTACATGATCGACGATATGATTGGTTTAAAAAAATTATTATTTTTAATTAATTTTTGTGCATTGATTATCCCTTAAACGGAGGAGTTTTTCTGAAGGTGTTAGTATCACTTCGTATATTAATATTAATACCATCTGTAAATAAAAATTTGGTTATTGTCCTTCGGTTTTTGTAAAATCTTGGTTTGTCGATCATTACAAATAAGGCATACTGCAAAGGAGATTTCAGGGTCCAAATCTAGTCGGAATTGTTTTCCTTGATCTAGAATTCTAGTCTAGATAATTTACAACAGGAAAGTAAGGGATATTTTAAAATGATAGACAGCTATTTGTTTTTTTCTACCCATTCCTTATTGTCCCTTTCTTTTTTTTCATCTTGAAAAATAAGCAGAAAATGATTCCAATAATTCATACCCCATTCAGCTAAACCACTCATTATTCAAGGCCAATAATTCTTTTCAGGAGAAACAAATTTTCTTATTGTTTGTTTACATTCCATGGCTGCTTTTTGGAAGTCCTTATCTTTGAGGCCAGATATTAGGGTTTTTACAGGGCTCAGGTAGAATGATTGATAAATAAATTGCATGATAATGCCAATCAAAGAAAAAGTCATGTAATATCCTGATGAGTGAAATTTGGCAGAATTGGAAAATAAACTTTTAATCTTCTTCTCCATGTATGACAATGGTTCCATCCAAGGTGCTGTGGAAAAATTTTAGTGGTTGAGTCTTAAGGTTTCTGGTACAAACTATCTTTGAAAAAAACAGCTTTGGCAATAGTTTGGGTTTCTCAACCTATTTTTAATTTAAATAATTTAAAAATAATTTTGTCCAATTTCATAAAAAATAGTTTGGGCTATAAAAAATTAATTTTTGCCCAGTGTTTTGTCAATTTCATCTACTAAAAGAGGTGGATTTGACTAGAAACTTTAGTTGAGTCTATACATGCTACCAAAATCACAAATGTACAAAGTAAATTTGGAGCAGCCTGTCAAAAAATAATCTGCTTCCCAACCAACAAGTGCCCAGGATTTGTGAAAGTATTTCCTCAAAGCCAAACTGGTTTGGACAACTTGGGCCTTTATAATGAAAAATCAACTGAATAAGAATAATTTTGTCTAATTTTGGCTACTAAGGGAGGTAGTTTGACTTGAAACATTTGTTTAAGAGGTTCTAGTGTCCTGTTCATAATATTGTTGAACGAGATACATACCAGTGTCCTTCCTCATTATCCTGTAAAAAAATATTCCGTTATTTTAATACTCTGCCATAAATTTATAACAGCAATAAATTAAAAAAAATACAAGGTACCAGTGATCAGCATAGATGATATCCTTTTTTTAAGGTCTGTGTTCTCAGGGATAAAGAAATCCTTCATATTGATATTAAATATCCCATAAATGTCAAAACTTCAATGCATTTACTAAATATATAAATTAACTCAAAATTTTCCTAGAAATCATTAATTCTTTCTTTGTAATGGTGATTTCTGTTTTAGTGTATGGTTTATTTTCCTATTGGTTATCAAAATAGATTCATTAAAAATGAAAATAGTAGAGAATATAATTTACTTTATTATTATCATTGGTCGCCTTTTCTTCAGGTTGCTGCTTTGTATTTTCGCTATCACGTCGAAAAATATAATTTTGACAATTTTTTTCATTTGTTAAAAATTTATATTCGATTAATCTAACATATTTTTTATCAAAAGATAGAATTTATTAAATCTTAAACTTCCTCTCTTCTAACAATACTCACCACATGTTGTGCTTTGGCAGCTTCTTTGCTTCTTCTTTTCCTTTGTTGTCGTTAGGCATTTTTTAATAATAATAACATATGTAAAAAAGGTAAATTTATCAATTTATACTTTCCTCCTTGTATAATGAATGATGCGCACCAATATTATCTTCTCGCGTCTTTTTTTTTTCTGAAAAAAAGACAATTGGACATTCATTTGGTATGATTTTGAAAACGACATGTTTTTACTAATAACCAACCAGAGATTGTATTTTTGTATTTATTGGTGCCTCTTTTTTCTTATACAAGAGTCTAAATATCTTGTATAAATGTGGAGCAAAACTTATGTCTTTTACATTATGGGTGATGGGCAATTATACAAGATTATTTATCACCATAAATGATTGCATAACCGTTATTAATATTAAACAATTATAAGAAATGTTTGGAAAAGAAATACGACTATTGGAGATCTCTACCATTTCCTCATAGGAAACTGGACGTACAATTTAGAAACATCAAACAATCGATATGCAACATCTGATAATTAGACGGAAACTTGTATTTAAACAATTTCAATCATTCTCATCACCCTCGCAGACAAAGGTTAAGTCGACCCCACGTTCCCCAATGATATTACAATGCAATTAAGTTTTCAGGAGGACCGCATGGCCTTGGAGTTTATCGGAAATTATATCATCGTCAAGGAGATGGTTAAAGCCTCTAGCTTATGTTCAACCGATGGGGAGAAAAAATTACATGGTTATAAGGTGTGCAATTGCACCGGATTACATGTTTGATGGAGGAAACTTATTAAATCTGACGCCTGAAGTCAAAATCGGATTTATTCATTTAATTTTTTTGGAAATGGTTTTTGAAATAATTTTTAAGGAACTCTACAATTTGTATTTGGTACAATTGGGGTGGCATATATGTACAATTCATGCACAGCACACATGCACATAAAAAAACGGAACCATATCTGCTAAAAATTTTCCATCACCACTTGGATGACATGGTGATGGACCATTATCCTACATGGAAAGGAGTTGAAATTAAAATTATCATGCATGGATTTATTTTCCAATTCTACTTGTAAGGACATTGTGTGATTTTCCCAAAATTAGTTGCTTAGGGTTTCTTTTCAGAATGGTCTTGGTACTATTATTACTTGGATGATACAATTTATTTGTTTATTTATTAATCTTTAAAATACAAATAATAAAAGGGAATGAATATATGCCAAAACAATAATGTCATGAATATTGTTGGAGACAAAGTATGTCATATATAAGGAAAAGATTAAACAAGAAATATTTTTTATTTTGATCCAGCTAGTACATAGAAAGATGTATAATAATTTGTATATTAAATACAAGACAAAAAACCTCCAGAGCAATTGCATGAGAGAAAAATACTTGGACCCAAAGGCGTTGCGAGTACTACCTATCTTTGGTCACTCTGGCGCAAATACATATATACTACACTTGCACTATTTTTTTTATTATCATTAACATTTCTCTATCAATATTCCTCTTCATTTATTTATCCATTGCCTGGTTTTTTTTTTGGTTTGATGATGGTGGAAACAAAACTCCTTCCTTTCCTTCTCCACATAACTCGTGGATTTCATTACCATTTTACTGAATGAAAAGGTCAAGTCTTGCTCAACCTTTTTATCAAATAATTGCTTGATAGATTTTCAATTCTTTGAATTTTTTTTATCACTAGTGAGTTGGTTGATTTATTTTTTATTTATAGTGAAGCAAAAAAACCAAGAGCTCAATCAACAACCTGCACAAAAAAGTTCACCATTGAAATTAAATATTATGAATATCTATTTATTATTTGCTTTTTTAAACAGAATAAAATTTGTGTTTAATTAGCTTTATCTGAAAATGAGTGAATTGGTGATGTTCAAACATAAGACAGAACTTGGATGTGTAATATTTGTAATTTGGTAAATTTGACCTCTGTAACTTCTTTGTCACATAATGTTAACTTTGTCAGCATGCCCCAAATCTATATCAAGGGACAACTATACTTTTAACTTGAAGTTTTTATTTGTTAATGTTCTAAATGTTCCTCTTCAAAGCAATAGCATATGTGTAATTAAGTGAGTGAGTCCACGCAAACGGTGGATATTATTCCCATAGTGTAGTATAATACCTCTAGTTCATGAGTACAGACAGTAAGTATTATGATAAAAATTAATTTTACATATTGAACAAAAACTTACCATTTTTTTGATCATGATTTTTCTCCATCGGCAAAAATTACTCTATAATAGAACTAGAGATAGTAGTATATCACACTGTATTCAAAAATGGGATGTTTTTTCGTGGACCAGTTAGTTACAGCTACGTAATTTTCTTTGTCTTCAAAAATTATTTGTGTAGATTTCGATGATCCGATCATTGAAAATTTTTGGTAATGGTTGTACCGCCCAATAAAAATTTTCTAAATATCAATCAATAATGGGTAAAAAATGTTTAGTGGCTTTGGATGGATCGAAACATTCAAATAATGCATTGGTTTGGACTCTTGAGAATTTGATTCAGCTTAATGACAATAACAATGACGAAGATACATTAATGTTGTTAAGTGTTGGTGTTTTGTATAATGATAATGAAATATCATCGTTTGAATATTCTGCTGTTACAAGTATTGATTAGATTTGGTTTGGTTTGGTTTGGTTTATCTGATTAGAATTGAATTGACTAATCGATTTGTTTGTTCGTAGGAAATTTATTAAATGTTGAGAATGATACAAAAATTGAAAAAGCCAAGGTTTTGATTAAAATGAATATTTATTATTATTATTATTATTATTATTATTATTTATAGAACTTGTTATTAATTATTATTATTATTATTATTATTATCATCATCATCATCATCATCATCATTATTATTATTATTAGGTTGAAAAATTGGCAAAAGAAATTACAAAAAATGGTGAAAAAATGGTTCTTGATTATTACGATTCAAGAAATATTTTAGAGGATAAAGAGGTACAATCAATCAATCATAATTCATATTGAATTCTCTATTAATCATCGTTTATTAAATAGAAATCAATACTACCGTCTGTACAGTCCTCAAATTTACCAATTATTTCAAATCCTCCAAAAATTCAACTATTCTTTAATTCAAGCTCTGATCCAGCTAATTCTGTAATTGATTTCTCAAGACAAAACAAAGTTGATGTATTGATAATAGGTCATAGAGGTTTATCAAGGCCTGATTCATCAAATTTGGGCAGTGTAGCTCAATGTTGTCTTCATTCTGCTAATTGCACCGTCATAGTTACAAGACTCAAATCATGATATTATTAATATTATTGGTATAGCTAAGTATATTGACATTTTGTATAGCGCATAGTTTATAGTGTTATAGTGTAATTATTATTTTAAAGCTATTCAAAATAAAAATTCAAATTTATTTAAATTCTATCCCCAATATAAAAATATAAAAGTAGGAAGAGAGTAGAATTAACATACAATATTAAAAGTAGTAATGATGATGATGATGTATAGAAAATAAAAAAATATACAATACAAAAAAAAAATACAATTTACAAAATAAAAATAATACGATAAATTCAAGAATTTTTGGATTGGCTAGGTGTTTTTAGTTGTAGCATGCGGGTTATAATCATTACTTGAAACACTTTGTATAGATACTGATGATGATCTAGCCACACCTTTATGTTTATGTCTCATACGGTAATTTGTTTCAAGCTTTTGGGCCAATCTAGACGCAACCCCAGCGAAATACATCTTTAAATTGTTATTATTACAATAATAATAATTAGTTTAAACATATTAACGTAACATGTTGTAGCCCCCCACTCAGTTATTTAACATACCCCAAATAAAATTTCAATAAACATCAAAATACATCTAATCCAAATCATTGCCGTTACATTCGAATCACAATGCGGTTTATATTCTTCCGTACATAGATCAACCTCTGATTGTCGATTAGTCGCTAGACTGATTATTGTTACGATAGAAATTATAGTATAAAACACCACAAATGTCCATAATATTATCGAAAAAATACGGATTCCTCCTGGTGATCCCTTTAATTAACACTTAATTAGTTGATTGATTAATTGGGTTACGAAGGAATTAAATTATTAATATTATTATCAACTTACGAACGCAGATGCAATTATACCAAAAACATAAACTAATGCCATGATAATAAAACAAACTCCAAAGAATATCGTAAGTCCTCTTGCCATACCTGGTGCTATATCTATTATAGAACTCATTCGATTAAATTCAACGAATTGTTTAATAATACTACTAATATCAAAGTAACATTATAAAATGAACCTGATGGTTTTACGAAAAAACCAATAGCGCTCGCTGTAGATATAACCTATAATAATAAATCACATATTCATTAATGCAATAAAAGTAGATAGACGAAAAAATTCCATTATTTCTTACCAAACTTATAAACGCAAGAAAAATTGTACCCGTTCGAATTGGAATGCTAAAAAATTTTTTTTATAATGATAAATGATAAAAAAACGCGTAATTTCTTTATTAACTATTACTATTATTTTTCTCGTATTATTTATTACATACCAACAGCAACACTCCATTTTTATTACTTTGAAAATTTTTTAACAAAAAAACGAATTTTTTATTTTTAACAAAAAATTTTTTTAAAAAACCAAAATTCATATGGCGTTCAAAGCTTTGTTTGAGGCTTGAGGCTTAGAGGTTGGAATCGACTAAAATGGTCGACTAAAGTAGTCAATTAATTAGTCGACTATTTTAGTCAACTAACTTTTTTTTTAAACAACTAATACTCGACTAATTTAGTCGACTAATAACTAATTATTATTATTGTCTGGCCAATTGTAAATGAAAAATAATAAAAATAAATATGCGGAGTATCAAGATTATGAAGAAGATGATAATGGTGATGTTGGTGCTGGTGTTGGCGATAATTATCCATGCAAAATAATAAACATTGATACAAGGTCAAATCATTCCAACAATTCGTTGGCTTCAAGCTCAAGCAGTGGTTCCAGACCTTTAAAAAAACGAATTATAACATATAGCTTCGTATGGAAGTATTTCGAGAAAATTAAAGATTCAAATGGAGATGAATTTGTAATCTGCAAATTAAAAAAAAACGTTAATAATAATGAAACAGAATGAATATTCTGATTAAATAGGATGTTATTCCCGTGACTAGTAGTCGACTAAGGATTTTTTGGACGATTCCAACCTCTATTGAGGCTTATTAACTAATAAAAACAATCGATTGTAATAGCCGTTAAATTGCCATCAAAATTAAATTAAACAATTATTTTTTTAATAAATTATTTCACGAATTCTTAACAATAAACAAATTCTTGCCTAAATTCTTAACTACCTTTTTCTTGTGGCTTAGAAAAATATATTGGGCAGTGCAAAAATAACAATAATTTATTATAACATAGCCATACATAGCCACCAATTTAAATCCGTAGCAATATATACATTCATCAAAATAATGTTATTTATTTTATTGCAATAAATGAAGAAAACCCCCTTTTTTTTTCCTCTTTCTTCGAATTATTCAGTTGTATTTAGATCATGAAGGTTTCCATTGCTATTAATAAATCTTCTTATAAGATCATTTATTTGTTCTGGAATTTGTTCATGAATAAAATGACCTGCATCTGGAATACGAATGGTTTCAAGATTCGATACATATTTTGAAAGATTATCTAAACACAGATCGCTTTCTAAGAATTCATCCTTTTCTCCCTAATGGTTTTTTTAAAATTACAGCAATTAGAATATTATTTCTAAAAAAAAAAAATAAAAATAAAAAATTTTCTTTTTCATAAATACCCAGATAACCAATGTTGGAATTCCTATAAACCCAACTTGCTTTATTCCTCTCTTTTCCTGTTCATTGTAAAACCCCAACATTGCACCACTACGGTAATAATTCATTCCCCCTTTAATACTAGCATAATTTTCCATACAAGCTGCTGCTTTAAACATTTCGATATCTTCGGCTGACACGTTACTCACGGACTTAAAAAATTCATCATAGAACGAAACATCTTTAAGCATAAACAATCTTTCAGGCAAATATGGTATCTGAAATCTAAACATATAATTACTCATAAGAAATTGTCTAATACACGGTGTTAAGATTGCCCATGAATTTCTTAATGTTTGTCTAGGTTGATTGATCAATGTTTTTAAATTGTTGTAATGAAATACTTGTTTAAATCTTTCTTTAGCATTATTCTGCCACACCAGTGTATTAGGTCCATTCAATATTATCAGCCTATCAATATATCCTGATTTATTAGAATATTGATCCCATTCCCAACTTTGTGCTGCTGCTTGCCATGCCAATGCCGCACCCCTATTTTTTTATATAAAAATAATTTATTATTATTATATTATAATTTATGTTATTAATAAATATCAATTACTTACCAATCATGACCAACAACGCACGCAGCTCTACCATTCTTGGATAATTTTTGAATAAAACTATGAATATCATCTAACAAAAATTTGGAATCATATGCACTACGTTCAATTGGTTTATAACTTCCTCCATATCCTCTCTTGCAATAATAATGTATAATATATTAATAATAATGTCAATAATAATCGATCATTTTTTATATAAATACAAACCATGTCGACTGCTACTAAATAATAGCCAGTGTCCTTCAATCCTTCAAGTTGAAATCTCCAAGAGTACCAAAACTAATAATATTATTATTAATTATTATTATTACTAGTATTGTATTATTACTACTACTATAATTATAATTAAATACTATGTTTACTTCAGGAAATCCATGAAGAAATAAAATAAGTGGTCCTTCTACATTGCCTGCTTCAACATAATGGAAAAAATTTTCTTCGATTTTTAAAGTTTTATGTTTACCATAATTTGGGTCATTGCTGTATAATTTTGATTGTACTACGTTATAATATCATTATTAATTATAATATATTATTCCTTTCTTTACTTCACTCGTTTAATTAATAACTTACAATCATTTCTATCTTTAATTTTCCAAATATTTTTCCTAGTAATTATTAGTTCTTTCAAAAGTTGTAAGCAAGTTAAACATATACTTGTAAAACCAATGGTAAATATTAAAATATCCACAACAAATGAATTTAAAATTTTTATTAACATTGTGTATGTCCCTCCTCTCACTTATTTGATTTATTTATAAAGATGAAAATTTTTTGAATATATATAAAAGATTTGCTAAAATAACATGTGAAAAAAATTATACGCGAGTCATTTATAGAAATTAGAGTCACGTCGCGTGATCAAATTATCTAAATTGTCTAGTGGAAGTTTGTTGTTACACGAAATGTTATACAGCACCCATTGCTCCTGAAACTTCACTAGTAAATATAGTTGTTTATCTCTAAATTTTGAGATCAAGTTCAGACAGATCCAATTCAAATCCAGTTTATCACTTTTTATTGCCAGAATGTTTGCCGTGTATTGTTGCATAATATAAAAAATTAGTGTAACATTTCAAATTTCCACTGTCTACACATTTTTATATAATTATTATGATTGGTCGAAATTTTACCATAGTGGAAATTTGTTTCATCCAATATGTTACACTGAGTCTGTTGGAAGTCCTACTTTTTATTATGTTGTATGTGAAATTGAATATTATGGAGTGGAGTGAAATTCTGATTGGTTAATTTGAATTTCACATATGTAAATTTGAATTTCACATATGTGAATTGCGAATTCACATAATTTCATTTTCACGTACAACAATTTACAAAAACATTCAAAAATCTAAAGATTTCTTTGGAGATCTTTTTCACAAAAGGTGACAATGAATATTTTTAAGTAAATACTAAGGTTTTAACAGCTCAAGGCAAACTACACTTGATACAATGTGACTAGGCTTTTAATCAATATCAAAAAAAATTTTCCTTGGTTTTTTTATTATTAATAAGCATGCATATGTTTTTAAATGCATAATAATAATTTTACTCATCTGCATTCACAAGTTGGCCTCTGTAAGGTCACACCTCCACACCATCACACTTTTTGGCTGGTCACATGTGTATGACTCAAGCATGCCCCATATCTTTGTAATCCCTGAAGACATTCCTGTTTTCAATGAATAATCTATAATTGCAGCGACGATGGTGAACGAAATTCCGTGCTAATCAGCACGGAATTTGGAATTGCGACATTTTCCTGGAGTACCACCACAACCTTTCGTATTTAGAAAAATGTTATTCAATGCACCCTGCTTTGTTTAAAAGAATTATTAGGGATAACACGTGTAAAACCTTGAACCTTTCTTTGCCGATCATTTTATTTTAAACACAGAAATTCACTTTTTTAAATCCTGGTTTAAATGAATTTCATATATTGATCTAAGTAAACTTGTTAATTGGAATATGTATTATTGCATATATTGCGGGTCCAAAAAAATAAAATTTTTTTACTAATTGCAACTTTAAAAAAAAAATTAAATTTTTGGAATTTTAAAAACACGCTTACTTCGGTACCAATAAAACATCTAAAAAAAAAAATCAAGATCAAATATTTGTATGCAAACTCCATATCTTTCATTGCCTATCGAAAAATTAAAAAAAAAATCGGTGGTCAATTAGTGATTTTGTCTAGTAGAGGTCTACACTTTTTTAAAAATTCCGTGCTGATTAGCACGGAATTCTTGTACGTTTAAGGGATAAATTCATTCTAGTTTATAATATTTATAAATAAATTGTAGAGATGGAGAATCTTTATCTATAAGTATTAAATTTTTGAATTCTTCTTTCATGGTTTTAAATTCGAAGATGAAGCTATTTATACATGAAAGATTACGGAAATGGTAATAAATCCTATTAGTAATGGACCTTGTACAGAATCTCGTTATAATAATATTATGACGTTATATAAAAAATTAAAATCATGTAGTTCTTCTATTTATAATTCAACAAATGCTTTTCTTGCTCATTAAATTCGAGGTTGTTGTCGCAATGATAATATTTACTAGTACGGTATACAGCCTTTCTAATTAATTTTTATTATTTTTTGATTTAAAAAAAGTCGAAATTTTACCAACAGTCAATCCAAATTTTTTACATTCAACAACACTTTTATTAATCCAACTTGGTAATTTTTGTCTTATCCTAAAATTTGTGTTGAATCGATGATCTAATAATATAATCGTCGCATAGTCATTTTGATGCCTAATAGCTCGACCTATTAAAAAAAATTATAAATATGTAAAATTATAAATAATAATAATATTATATTGTACATTTAAAAATAAATTACCAATTGATTGATTGACTGATCTCATACACAAATTCAAATAATATTCCATTCCACGTTGTTTCGAATTATTATTTTCCTTCGATTGACTTATAAATTTCATTTTTTCATTCAATTCGTTAGAGGAAAGATTTGCAAAAGGTAATCCAACCATTATTACGCCTCTAGATCCATCAAATCAAAATTAAAAAAAAATTAATCACGTAATTATTATTGTTATTAAAAGTCTTAATATTTTTTTTTTACCTTCCCAATTTATCAGAGAAATTTATTCCTTCACTCATCTTGCCATTAACAACACATAATAATAATGCTCCTCCATGTGATTCAGAATTGGTGTGAATATGATGATTGTAATCATTTAAAGTTTTTTCAACCAAATTAGCTTGACGAGGTTCCTGAAAAACCTAAAAAAAAATTTATTCAAATCAAATTAATTAAAATTATCAATCATCATTTCTTATTGATAATAAAAATTTTACCTTTTTACGTTTTTCAATTCTTTTTAATATACCATTAGTTTCGAACCTCTTATAAACTTTTTCTAAATATGAATATGATGAAAAAAAACAGATTACACCATCTGGTATAATATTACAATAATTTACAATAACTTGCCCCAATTCATCTATCTATAAATCAAAATAGAGAGAAGGGTGGAGAAGAAAGAAGAGAAGGGAACATGTTTAGTAAAGATTATACTTAATAAAACAACCTTTCGATTTTGTGAAATGCTTTTTTACCATTTTTACATTTTGACGATGTTCATATGTGAATTCAAAAATTCCGCCCATTGGACCTTCAGAAACTGTTAATGTTAATAAATTTTCAGGTGGTATGATATGACCACATGAAAATTTAACAATTTTTTCAGAAGGTAAATATGGAAATAATTGTTCGATTAACTCATTTACCTAAAATTTAATTATATAAAAATTACTACATGATACAACCGTCTTGTGTATAATAAAATGTATAATATTTTTAGGAGGGGATATAACCTACAGGCTCCATGGTACCACCTGCCAAAATCACACTTCTAGCTTCTTGAACAATCTCCTTAAATTGATTTGAAGGATTTAACAGCAAATATTTTATATAAGGAATATATTTTATTTTTGTCTTTGGTGATGTATCTTTACATAATGTTAATTCTGGTTTTGATGATGAAGATGTAACCTGTGATGTTTGTTGTGGCAAGAAACCAAGTATTACACGACCATCTTGATTACCATTAGTTAATGACATAAGAAATGCTTCAACTTGGCTTAATGATGGAATGGTAGATAAATGCTCTTATTTTTAAAGACGAAGAACCAATTGTAAATTAGCATAATATAATGCTGTAAAATACTAACGCAACCAACAATATATATATGTATGTAATTACCATGATCTTGTACAAAAGAATCATTATTATCGCTATTTAATTGTTCAACCTTTTCAATAAATCCATTCAACTTATTAAAATAAAATAAAAAATAAAAAATTAGCATTTAATTTATTTTTAGAAATATATAATATAATTAATTTACCTTACGAGCAATCAGGCTTTTCTTTAAATAATTTTGAATTTTGAATAGATTTAAATGACCAATATTCCATAAATGCACAAAATCATTTACTGTTTTTACCTCCTCTAGACCTTCATAACTATCTTCCTCAAAGTTTTCACATTTTTTCTGCCAAGCTTTTAAACATTTTACCAAAGCTTGTAACATCGATAAAATTTGCTGAATGTATGTGATATTTTTTCCTAAAAGACGATTTTTATACCGATCAAGATATGACGATAATTGTGAGCCCATTCTTCTAATTTGAGGTAAATCAATTTGAACAGTGTTAATAGAAGTTATCGTATCTATAAGATTATGAGCTTCATCGATAATCACAATATTATTTTCAAGTGAGATTCCCATTGATTCTCTTGAAGATTTTTGTAATATAAGATTATAAGGAAGTGTAACAATCTATAATTTAGGAGAGAAATAAATATTAATCAGTACAATAATTTTTTTCTTAAAAAAAACCAATATGTAATATATATAATATATTCACATACCTGACATTGTCTAATACTTTTCCTTGTGCCATAGTAAGGACAAGTATTCAATTTTTTGCCAAGATGAGCTAAATCTTCGATATCACGCACTTCTGCCTATTTATTAAAATAATAAAAGAAAAAAATATAATTATCAAAAATTATAACCATGTTTTATTATTATGTAACTAAACTACTAACCAGAACATGATCTCTGAAATCTAAAAACCCTGATTTGTCCTTAAAAGGAAGATGGGGGCATCTTTTCTCAGCTTTTAAATCAGATTTTTGCAAATCCATACATTTATCATTAATTTTTGTAATGTTATTAAGCCTCTTGACATTTTCATTTATACACAAAGAATTTCGGGAACCCAATGAGACAGATTTAATGTATTCAGAGACATAATCGGTTTTACGAAGTTCATTGATGAATTGGGATAATTGAGAATGTGTTCTTGAACAATAATAAATCTATAATTTTCATGATATGTAAGAAGTAAATATATGATTGATTAATAATATTAAAATTTCTTAGTAATCCATTTACTTTTGTTTCATCAGGAACATTTTCGTCATCAATTTCATCGTCCTTTTCAGAATTTTCAACATCTTTGCCTTCTTGAAACCTAATTCAATATATGGATATTTTATTTATTATTATTGATATTGGAAAAATAAACAAAGGTTTTAGTAATAATTAAAAAGTCCAACCTTTTTAAAAGTTCGCGTACATCCTCAGATAAATTATCTTCGACGACAGTAACAATGCCATCATTAATGTCATTAATATCATTACTATGATTTTCAGTATCCTCATCACTATCATAATCTTCAACCAGAAATACATTTAATCCGGAATCATCATCACCAATATCTTTGTTAGTGTTATTAATATTCAAATTTTTATAATTTTTATCCTCCGATCCTTTAATTGGTTTCTATTATCATAATCATTCATTAGTAATGATCATATTATGTAACTTAAAATTGTATATAACACTAACCAATCGTTTTCTAGCATGACGGCTTCTTTGTGATTGACTTTTCTCTCGTTCAAGCTTTTCTTTTTCTCGGATCTTTTTCAGTCGTTCATTCAATCGTTGTTTTCTTGATAGCTCATCTTTGATGTTTTGTTTTTTACGATGTTCCAATACCCATTGTGGTACTACAAGTTATAACGAAATTATCATCAGTATTAACAATTCCATTAATCTTAATAATAAAATTAAAAATATCCTTACATTTAGAATCATCGTTTTCATTATTACAAACATTTTCACTAGCAGTTAATTTATCAAATCTATTTTCATTATCTTTAAGCCATTTTAATGCCCCGCATATCAAACTTAATGATTTTCCCTAATTAAATTGAATTAATAGCTAGCCAAATAATCAATCATCATTTTATAATTTTTTTAATGTAACTCACGGTTCCAGTTGGACTTTCGAAAATCCCCAATTTTTCTTCTTCTATAACTTGATACAAGTTCTTCATAAAACTAATTTGAATATCGTATGGTTTAAAAGGAAATTGAAAGGTTGATTCACTATCAGGCGGTGATAGATAATCTAAAGAAGAAGAACAGTAATAATTAGCAGTATTACTCATTTGTTTATTATTATTATTATTATTATTATTATTATTATTATTATTATTATTATTATTTTCGCGTGTAGAAAAAATAAATGATTACCATATTAATACATATATGTGAGAATTATTTAACCAAATTTGTAAATGATCTGTATTAGATCGCGTAAAAGATCAGCGGTAACTTTTTTTTTGATAAAATCGGTCCTTGACAATGACTAATTTAGCGATTCTACCTGTGTATCCATTACTACCTTGGGTTTTGTATATTTCTTGTTTATCAAAGAAATTGCAAAAACAAGTATCGAACCTATGATGATTAATATCCATTCATTTTCTAGAAAAGTGTTTTTAAGCTTGAATAATAAAGTCAATCAAATTTATCAGTGCCATAAATGTTGTGATTGTTATTTAATTTAATTAAGAATGAATCATAATTTTTTATGCAATCTAAGTGACATCTCTTTCTTTATCTTATTTCTCTGGTCAAGATCATCAAATCTTTTAAGAATATCGCTATTTGTTTAGAAAGACATAAAAGAAAATAAAAGATTGTATAACAGCAGTGGCAATGATATGAGAATGTTAAATTTTTATTTAGTGATTATTCCAAAATATAGTAATAATGTGCATTTGGATTATTAAAAATAAATCTACAAGAAACTAACAAGAACTTTAAGGTAATTTTCATTTTCTTCCTTGTAATTAATTGTATTGCACTCTCTAAATTTTATAAGAAGTTCAAAAAAATGAGCACACTTTGACAATATTCAGAAAATGAGACAATATTTCTAACTGGTACTACGGATTTTCATATAATAATAAATTAAAATATTAATAAATATAAAACTCTCGATATTTGGTTTACCAGATGTTTTTAAAAAATTTTATATATTAATATGTCTTTTATAATAATTTTACCTTGATATTGATATAATAATAACGGATAAAGATTATATTAATTAAAAAAATCATATACTGTATATATAATGAAATAATTTTAAAAAAGAATCATGTTGGCAAACTTTTTTATTTAAAATTTATGTTTAATGGAATGTTATTATCATGGTTATTATATAACTCCCTGGACAAAAGTTTTGGTCATCATAAAATAATTAATTGCACATAATAAAAAATATAAATAATTTTTATCAATTGTAATTAAAGTTCTTGAAAATTTAAAAAAAAAAATCAAAGGTTTACCAAAAGTTGATTTTTATTAGATAGATACGAGGATCATGTAAAGTACTTATGGTTTTAGTTGAAACTAAGCATGTTAGCCGAAATTGCCTCTCTTAATAAATGATTATTGCTGAATCCAAAATGCCGAAATAGTTTTTCATAGTTACCAAAATCAAATTTATTAGTTGTTGAAATTATATCTGAAATTATTTGAACACTTTAACTCAATAGCCAAAATTCTCAGTAGTTTTTTTATGCCTATTGATATAAAGAATATTGTAAATCCGAAATTGCTTGCCGAAATTGATTTTTTCAAAAACCATTTCGGCTAACATCCTTAGTTGAAACCTATAAGCATGTATTTTCATTAAATTGGACTTTTGTTTTCTCTGAAGGTTTACAATTCTCTCTTTTAACAATTTTCTTCAACTCTAGAACTTGAGTAATTAAAAATCTTGATGATAAAATTTTTTGACAAATTTTTGACAAAATTTTAAAAAATTAAAAATAATCGGTCTACGTATAAAAAAAGTGGCACATCAAATCTAATCAATATAAGGAAATCATACATTTAGTGTAACTTCTAATCTCTACTCTTCAAGTGTGATTTATTAATATGGGCGTGTTTCCAATTCAATCTATGTAACGAAATAGAATATCTCTGTCATATTTGGAATTGTTCTATATTAATTGCAACTTCAAAACAACATTAATAGTAGAAGCAGAAAGAAATTTACCAACTTAAGCTCATATGAGCTGTAACACAAATCTATATCTTAAAGAATGTTCTAGAAATATATATAAAATTTAGTCGAAATAAAAAATTTTAATTCATCAAAATGAGTAATTGGAAGAATGTGAATAATTGGTATGGGTTGATTATTTTTTTTTTAATTAAAAAAACCTTTATTATTCTAAAAGATTGATTATAATATTTATTAATTGATATTTTTAATATTTTTAAAGGCATTGGTATGTAAATTTATTATATATATTTGGACTTGGAATTATTATTTAAATAATAATAAAAAAATATTATTAGGACAAGTAAAAATTGTATAAGTTGGGCTAAAGAATATCTAAAAACAAATCTTATAAATATTTCGGTAGAACATGAAGGTATAACAGTGAAAACTTTAAAAGTGACAGAATGTAATGGTGATGCAGAATTGAATCAAAGGAAAGGAAAGCTGATTCCAATTTATGATTTGGTAATAGAATTGACATGGTCTGGTATGCTAGTTAATACAAATTTTGATAATGATAATTAAATGATTTTTTCTTTAAAAAAATTTTATTCAAATTAATTTAATAAATACATGAATATATTATAGGCACCACTGCTGATGGAACTGAGGTTACAGGGAATATTAAAATTCCTGAACTTTTACAGGGCTCAGAAACTGATTGTGAGGTATTAAAATTTAATTAATTAAATTAAATTTTTTGTTAATAATTTATTTAATTATTTAATTATTTAGTTTGAGATTACTGTAAATGATGATGATAATGCTGAGAAAGATTCTATTAAACAAGTAGTTCGTAAACATTTGACACCTTTGCTTATAGAAAAATTCAAGAATATTGGAAAAGATATGGTAGAAAGTATGTTTGTTTCATTCATATATAATCTTTAATTATATTGTTATTAATACAATTTACAATTATTATAATTATGTATTATATTATAATTTTAGCTCATAGTAAAGATGTTTATATTGAACCATCACAACTTGGAGTTCTCAATCAAAAACCACTTACACCTAGTGAGCCAATCGCAGTATCAACTCCTGTCACCACTACTAATATTTCTGAAGTCATCACCACCACTTCTTCCAAAATTACTACTTCTAAATTGTCATCATCATCAACTTCATCATCATCAGCTAAAACAAAAATTAACACTACTACAATAAATGAAAAGATTGAAATGCAAACTTCAGCAGATCAAATCTACGAAACTTTGCTTGATCCAGGTCGTGTCACTGTTTGGACAAGATCAAGACCAGATATTTTCAGACTTGTTGGAAGCAAGTTTAATTTATTTGATGGAAATATTACAGGCACAATATTAGAATTGGTATGGAATGATGGAATGAAATAAATATTATTAAAATTTGTTATTTGATATTAATTTTTAAAATATTTTAATTAAAGATTCCAAATGAAAAAATAGTTCAAACATGGCGTCTAAAATCTTGGACTGAAGGTAAATAATAATAGTAATAATAATTTATGCTTAGTAAATAAATATAAATAATATATATATTATTTATTATTTCTATATAAAAAAGATCATTTTTCTACAGTCACACTTAGATTTGAGCAATCAAGTGACCATACAGTAATCCATCTAACACAAGAAGGAATTCCAGTTGAAGAAGTAGACACAGTACAGCATAATTGGGAAAATTATTATTGGAATGCAATTAAAAGTGTATTCGGATATGATATTTTGTTAAAAAATAATTCATCTAAATCTTTTCATAAGAAACGTAATAGTAGTAGTAGTAGTAGTAGTAGTAATAAGAATAGTAATAATAAGAAAAAGAAAAAGAAAAAGAAAAAAAATGATTATGATGGGGGCATTTGGGGCAATAATGTATTTATAGTTGGTGCAATAGTTTTTGTATTATCTGGTTTATTTTTGGGTTATACATTTTCTTCTCGTTCTTCCTAAAAATAAAATTATTTAATTAGATGATATTTTGATAAAGTTTATTTTGTGTTGTAAAAGTTAATTTATAATATAATACTTACAAGCTGATTATTATAAAGAAATAAAAAATAAAATTATTTAATTAGATGATGCTTTGATAAAGTTTGTTTTGTGTTGTAAAAGTTAATTATAATATAATACTTACCATCAGTGTTGGAAATTGAGTGCGGGGTTTGTGTTACATATGGAATTTAGCCAATCAAATTTGTTCTTCTAGTAGAAAATTTAACGTTGATTGGCTAAATTCAGTATGTAGCACAAACCCCCGACTGATATAATTAAATCATTCGGAAAATTAATACAAATAAAAATAAATGGAAAATATTATATACAGATAACTAAAAATACATATAAATAATGTAAATAATATAAAATGATATAAATAATATTACTCCGTATTTTCGGGGTTGTTGATTAGCGAATTAAGGTCAAATTCGCATTTCGGTGACATCACCACCGCACAAGCATTGAGCTCCTGTGAAACAGGAAAAGTAAAATCTCTTAATAGATCATCCAAGAGCAATGAAGTTTCTAATCGTTCAGCTACAATTGCTCTTATCCCTATCATTAATTTCTCAAAATTTCCCTCTGTCATTTCCAAGGACGTAATTTTTGTAGTGATAAGTAGGATAATCCTATTGTATCGAATAACATTACAGTCTTCTTCGCCAAATTGATGAGTTTTCCACTCTTGTTGTAATTACGCTGGTATTTTTGATGAATTTTCCTTCTTATGGTTGCAGGGTATTCCTCAATAAGTTTTCCAAGAAGATAATAATACTCAAAAGTATTATTATGTCTTGTAACCTTTAACTTACTCAAAATAGTTGTCAATTGTTTGTCTTCATCTCCATCTATTTTGGGTATCGTAAAGTCTGGAAAGATAGCACCCCCTTTTTACAATATGATCGACATTCAATTTGAGCATAAGATTATCCAAAAAAGGTAACGAATTTATTACACGAAATATTAAAAATATATATTAATATTTTATAACAAATAAAAAAAAATTTATTAAAAACGTTCAAATTATTTCTAAATCATCACTATAATAAATATCATAAGACATATTATTCTCAGTATTTTCTTTATCTTCCACAAATACTTCATCAAGTAATTCATAAACATTATTATCTTCTAATTCATCAATAGGATTTGTTATCTTACATTTTTTAAATGAATTTAATATAAGTTCAGAAGAAATACTGTCCCAAGCATTTTTAACCCATTTGCAAACATCACTAATACTTGCATGATGTAAATAACCACCTGCAGTAACACCATTGCCTCCATTACGCATCCATTCATCCCATTCTTTTTTTAAATGTTCTTTGAATGGTTTATTGATTGAAACATCAAGTGGCTGGCATATACTTGTATACCCACCTGGAATAACAGCTAAATTAAAATAGTTTGCCTCAAATTTTTGTTTAACAGTTTCTTTTAGGTGTCCAGAAAAAGAATCATAAACCATTAATGCAGGTTCCTTATCAATTCTTTTATTAACTCTGTCTTCAATTAACATATCTATATATTTTTCCATGAGTTCAGAATTCATCCAACCTTTCTCTTGAAACCAAACTACAACTCCATCAGGAATTGTTTGACCTTGCAGTAATTTTTTTCCTTTAAAAATACATATTGGCTTCAATTTTGATCCATCTATTGATAAAATTTATTATATATGTGAATTTATTTTTTTTTACAATTTTAAATACAAATTAAAATTTTAATCTAATACTGATTAAATACATAAATATACTAAAAATTAAATTGATTTTACTATAAAATTATTTATATAAATAATAATTACTAAATTACCTCCCGCACAGGTTAAAACCACAGTAAATCTATTTTTTTCATTACCAGTACACTTAATATGTACTGTTTTTTCACCTTTTTGACTGATAGTTAATCCTCTTGACATATCAAAATATACTGGAGTTTCATCCATATTATATATATTGTAAAGTTCATAATTAAATTCCAACCTTTTTTTAATTATATATTTATTAAATGAATTTAGTTGATGATGGAGTTGCTCAGGTAACTTTTGAGATATTTTAGTTTGTCTTTGTAAAGAAAGGTTTTTATGTCTTAAAAATCCAAGTAACCAGCTTTTGGAATATTTAAAGGAACCACTAGCTTCTGGGTATATAAATTTGAAATGTGGCTCATTTAAAATTTTTTGCATTTGATTTGAAATATTATAATAAGTAACAGCAAATACTTGCTTTCTTTGTTCAATAATTCATTCGTAGAGTTTTTCTTCTGCTTCTGGAAAAAAAGGCTCTTCTTCCTGAACCTAATGCCTTAGTTTTATTTTTTACAGATTTATCCCATTTTTCACAAGCTTTAATCCACCTACCAATCATTGTTGGTTCTAAGTTGAACTGACAACTAGCCTCATTTCTTCCATGAAATTTTGCAAACTCAACTACTGTCTTTTTTTGAAATATAGTATATGATGATTTAATGCGATGAGGTATATGATTTTCCATTGGGAAAATTTTATTTTTTCCCTTAATATTTTTTTTTGTTTATCTTGTGAAACATATAATTATCACCTTTTTTAGACTATTTCAGTTTCTATTTTTGGAAGGTGCTATCTTTCGGGGGTGATATCTTTCCAGACTTTACGGTATTAGGGCACTGACACATATTAGCTAATATTTTAGGGGGTGGAGGGATAACAGAAAATCTTAGGTCACACAATCTCATAAATAACATGATCATAATGGTTTTAGTGAAAGATCTGTATTTTTATAATTTTGATGTAAGTGTTTCAATTTAGGAATGATATACATGTAAACCAATCGTCATTTACAAAAAAATTGTATTGCACTTTTTGTCTACAGGATGATATGGCAATTAATTCTCACATTCTCATATACATAAATGCTATAATTAATCATTCTT